GCTCTTCCGATCTCCCCAAAACCCCAAAACCCCAAAACCCCAAGTAAGTTGAATTACAAAAATTCACAAATAAAAAGGTTAAAATTGAAATAAAAATTATTAATAAAACTAACTAATATAATGTCTTAGATGTAAAATAGAGCTCTTGCAGCAGCAAGTCCAATAAATTATTCAAAATCAAAGTAACTTTACACATTTTCGAAAGCTTAAAGATTCCCTACAGCACATAAACCATAGTAAATAATTCCAAGCTATTTAAATTATAATTATAGTTGTGAAACCTTTTGCTATGAGAAGAAAGACACAAAAACTAATAGAGCGACAAGTTTGGGCTACGGCAGGAGATTTGAGGGTTTAATTCTTAAAACATCTGCACCTTCACCCTAGCTATATTAAATGCAATCTGAATTCACAAACTAGCCAAAGTCAAGAGCAATATCATTCGGAATCTCGAGAGATTTCTTCAATAAAGTATACTTAAAGGAAAACCCACCGAGAGATATCAACTTTCCAGGACCAGGCCATTATAGACCAGATACTAGTCCAACGCAGAAAAGTGCTCAGAAATTCTCAATGAGGCCAAAAACTGCAAATGATAGCTCTTTTAGGAACTATTCAAAAGGTTTCCCTGGTCCAGGAACATATGAAATCAATAAAGCGAGTGATAGTAAAAATGGTTTTGTGTATTAATCTAAATACAAGAGTCCCACTGGTACCGTTATTTCCAAATCAGGTAAAAGATTTGACACCTCAAGACAAAGACACTCAATGGACATCCCAGGCCCAGGAGTTTATAATCCTAAATTAGACTTGAACAAAAGCGGCTAATACTCGTATTATAAATTCAAAAATAGTGGCGCCCCATTATTTGGCAAGGCTCGACGCCATGTCAACTTAGATAATTCAATAACAAGGAAAAGTAAGCTTAAAAATGTTTAATTATTTTTACTGTAGTCACTCCTGGACCCGGTACATACAGAATACAAAGTGAGTTTGGCTATTATGATCCCACTGACACTGCAGCAAACTAAAGCTTCAATAAAAGCGTAAATAATGGTAGGACTTCTTCAAGAAGAAGTAACTATAACTGAACTAATTTTCCGTGAAAATAAGTATGAACACATCTTGTATTTATTAATTGTCTTTAACTTTTTTATTTTGACTATTTTTGCCATCTGGGGTTTTGGGGTTTTGGGGAGATCGGAAGAGCACACGTCTGAA